GTGGCGTTGTTTAAGCAGTAACCATCTTTTGAAGTTTTCTTGAAAAATTTAAATGGAATGTTATAATTTTTATACGTTATTTAGACTGTCTTTGTCGGTCATGTACTATTTTACACATATTTTTTGTGGTTCACTCGTTAATATACTAAAAAGTAGTAAACTACTACTACTACTATTGTTGTACTATTGTGTACCTCCATTTGAGATATTTTTGATATATTTTTGATATATTTTTGATATATTTTTGATATATTTTTGATATATTTTTGATATATTTTTGATATATCTTTGATATATTTTTGATATATTTTTGATATATTTTTATATATTTTTGATATATTTTTGATATATTTTTGATATATTTTTGATATATTTTTGATATATTTTTGATATATTTTTGATATATTTTTGATATATTTTTGATATATTTTTGATATATTTTTGATATATTTTTGATATATTTTTGATATATTTTTGATATATTTTTGATATATTTTTGATATATTTTTGATATATTTTTGATATATTTTTGATATATTTTTGATATATTTTTGATATATTTTTGATATATTTTTGATATATTTTTGATATATTTTTTGATATATTTTTGATATATTTTTGATATATTTTTGATATATTTTTGATATATTTTTGATATATTTTTGATATATTTTTGATATATTTTTGATATATTTTTGATATATTTTTGATATATTTTTGATATATTTTTGATATATTTTTTGATATATTTTTGATATATTTTTGATATATTTTTGATATATTTTTGATATATTTTTGATATATTTTTGATATATTTTTGATATATTTTTGATATATTTTTTGATATATTTTTGATATATTTTTGATATATTTTTGATATATTTTTGATATATTTTTGATATATTTTTGATATATTTTTGATATATTTTTGATATATTTTTGATATATTTTTGATATATTTTGATATATTTTTGATATATTTTTGATATATTTTTGATATATTTTTGATATATTTTTGATATATTTTTGATATATTTTTGATATATTTTTGATATATTTTTGATATATTTTTGATATATTTTTGATATATTTTTGATATATTTTTGATATATTTTTGATATATTTTTGATATATTTTTGATATATTTTTGATATATTTTTGATATATTTTTGATATATTTTTGATATATTTTTGATATATTTTTGATATATTTTTGATATATTTTTGATATATTTTTGATATATTTTTGATATATTTTTGATATATTTTGATATATTTTTGATATATTTTTGATATATTTTTGATATATTTTTGATATATTTTTGATATATTTTTGATATATTTTTGATATATTTTTGATATATTTTGATATATTTTTGATATATTTTTGATATATTTTTGATATATTTTTGATATATTTTTGATATATTTTTGATATATTTTTGATATATTTTTGATATATTTTTGATATATTTTTGATATATTTTTGATATATTTTTGATATATTTTTGATATATTTTTGATATATTTTTGATATATTTTTTGATATATTTTTGATATATTTTTGATATATTTTTGATATATTTTTGATATATTTTTGATATATTTTTGATATATTTTTGATATATTTTTGATATATTTTTGATATATTTTTGATATATTTTTGATATATTTTTGATATATTTTTGATATATTTTTGATATATTTTTGATATATTTTTGATATATTTTTGATATATTTTTGATATATTTTTGATATATTTTTGATATATTTTTGATATATTTTTGATATATTTTTGATATATTTTTGATATATTTTTGATATATTTTTGATATATTTTTGATATATTTTTGATATATTTTTGATATATTTTTGATATATTTTTGAATATATTTTTGATATATTTTTGATATATTTTTGATATATTTTTGATATATTTTTGATATATTTTTGATATATTTTTGATATATTTTTGATATATTTTTGATATATTTTTGATATATTTTTGATATATTTTTGATATATTTTTGATATATTTTTGATTATATTTTTGATATATTTTTGATTATATTTTTGATATATTTTTGATATATTTTTGATATATTTTTTGATATATTTTTGATATATTTTTGATATATTTTTGATATATTTTTGATATATTTTTGATATATTTTTGATATATTTTTGATATATTTTTGATATATTTTTGATATATTTTTGATATATTTTTGATATATTTTTGATATATTTTTGATATATTTTTGATATATTTTTGATATATTTTTGATATATTTTTGATATATTTTTGATATATTTTTGATATATTTTTGATATATTTTTGATATATTTTTGATATATTTTTGATATATTTTTGATATATTTTTGATATATTTTTGATATATTTTTGATATATTTTTGATATATTTTTGATATATTTTTGATATATTTTTGATATATTTTTGATATATTTTTGATATATTTTTGATATATTTTTGATATATTTTTGATATATTTTTGATATATTTTTGATATATTTTTGATATATTTTTGATATATTTTTGATATATTTTTGATATATTTTTGATATATTTTTGATATATTTTTGATATATTTTTGATATATTTTTGATATATTTTTGATATATTTTTGATATATTTTTGATATATTTTTGATATATTTTTGATATATTTTTGATATATTTTTGATATATTTTTGATATATTTTTGATATATTTTTGATATATTTTTGATATATTTTTGATATATTTTTGATATATTTTTGATATATTTTTGATATATTTTTGATATATTTTTGATATATTTTTGATATATTTTTGATATATTTTTGATATATTTTTGATATATTTTTGATATATTTTTGATATATTTTTGATATATTTTTGATATATTTTTGATATATTTTTGATATATTTTTGATATATTTTTGATATATTTTTGATATATTTTTGATATATTTTTGATATATTTTTGATATATTTTTGATATATTTTTGATATATTTTTGATATATTTTTGATATATTTTTGATATATTTTTGATATATTTTTGATATATTTTTGATATATTTTTGATATATTTTTGATATATTTTTGATATATTTTTGATATATTTTTGATATATTTTTGATATATTTTTGATATATTTTTGATATATTTTTGATATATTTTTGATATATTTTTGATATATTTTTGATATATTTTTGATATATTTTTGATATATTTTTGATATATTTTTGATATATTTTTGATATATTTTTGATATATTTTTGATATATTTTTGATATATTTTTGATATATTTTTGATATATTTTTGATATATTTTTGATATATTTTTGATATATTTTTGATATATTTTTGATATATTTTTGATATATTTTTGATATATTTTTGATATATTTTTGATATATTTTTGATATATTTTTGATATATTTTTGATATATTTTTGATATATTTTTGATATATTTTTGATATATTTTTGATATATTTTTGATATATTTTTGATATATTTTTGATATATTTTTGATATATTTTTGATATATTTTTGATATATTTTTGATATATTTTTGATATATTTTTGATATATTTTTGATATATTTTTGATATATTTTTGATATATTTTTGATATATTTTTTGATATATTTTTGATATATTTTTGATATATTTTTGATATATTTTTGATATATATTTTTGATATATTTTTGATATATTTTTGATATATTTTTGATATATTTTTGATATATTTTTGATATATTTTTGATATATTTTTGATATATTTTTGATATATTTTTGATATATTTTTGATATATTTTTGATATATTTTTGATATATTTTTGATATATTTTTGATATATTTTTGATATATTTTTGATATATTTTTGATATATTTTTGATATATTTTTGATATATTTTTGATATATTTTTGATATATTTTTGATATATTTTTGATATATTTTTGATATATTTTTGATATATTTTTGATATATTTTTGATATATTTTTGATATATTTTTGATATATTTTTGATATATTTTTGATATATTTTTGATATATTTTTGATATATTTTGATATTTGATATATTTTTGATATATTTTTGATATATTTTTTGATATATTTTTGATATATTTTTGATATATTTTTGATATATTTTTGATATATTTTTGATATATTTTTGATATATTTTTGATATATTTTTGATATATTTTTGATATATTTTTTGATATATTTGATATTTTTGATATATTTTTGATATATTTTTGATATATTTTTGATATATTTTTGATATATTTTTGATATATTTTTGATATATTTTTGATATATTTTTGATATATTTTTGATATATTTTTGATATATTTTTGATATATTTTTGATATATTTTTGATATATTTTGATATTTTGATATATTTTTGATATATTTTTGATATATTTTTGATATATTTTTGATATATTTTTGATATATTTTTGATATATTTTTGATATATTTTTGATATATTTTTGATATATTTTTGATATATTTTTGATATATTTTTGATATATTTTTGATATATTTTTGATATATTTTTGATATATTTTTGATATATTTTTGATATATTTTTGATATATTTTTGATATATTTTTGATATATTTTTGATATATTTTTTGATATATTTTTGATATATTTTTGATATATTTTTGATATATTTTTGATATATTTTTGATATATTTTGATATTTTTGATATATTTTTGATATATTTTTGATATATTTTTGATATATTTTTGATATATTTTTGATATATTTTGATATATTTTTGATATATTTTTGATATATTTTTGATATATTTTTGATATATTTTTGATATATTTTTGATATATTTTTGATATATTTTTGATATATTTTTGATATATTTTTGATATATTTTTGATATATTTTTGATATATTTTTGATATATTTTTGATATATTTTTGAGATATTTTTGAGATATTTTAAAATATTTTTTAGTATTCACCTGTCGCTTTGGTACAACTCCACAGACGAATTCAACTCGGCGAGTTGTTCCTTCAACAGTTGAAGATTGGAATTGACGAAACTAAGTTCCACAGCCACGGTCTCTCTGAGTTTCTTGTTCGTCGTCGCCTTGAAGAGATTCTCGGCTCCGGCCCTAAGTCGCAACTCCTTATTAATTTCCTGGTTGAGTTTTGACCTACGGTTTTGTAGTTTGCCTCTGCAGGTTGCTATTCGAGGATCAGATCCCTGAAACAAAACATTATTTATATTATTTTGTAAATTATCCTATATGTGACTGATAACTCTGCGATGTTTTTAATATAGGTTTTACATCATGCGGAACTTTTTATAAACAGTGATTTTATTCGTGAAACATTATAGTTTTTCCATTTGATTCCAGGTTAAGTATACACACTGTATATCTATCCCAATTATAAATAACTTTGACCCAAAATAACCTGTCTATAAATTTATACAAATTCAAGATATGCCCAATTAAAATCATTCACGTTTTAGATTATTTAATTTGAAAGTAACTTCATGGTGAATATTTTTAATATCTACATGATATTTTTTTGGAAAATGCTGCTATTTGATACGCGTGTGACAAATTTCGTGACAAACCAAAGGCCAATCGTGAATACGTGATATCTACAACGTAAAATTACCGATAGTTTCCTTTATTTAAAAGGTATTATACAGCAAAGAAACATGCACTTGAACAGGAAAAGTATATTGTGTGTATTTTCATGGGTACCGCAAGGATAATAAATTAAATTTATTTTATCAGAAATAAGGATATTAAAAAACGCAGATAAAAGATCTACAATAACCATGCTAAGGTGTAGAAAAATGATATGCGGGAAATAATTGGTACAATTTAACGATCTTTATTCCATAAATCAGAGGTAATATCATGATTCCTTCAAATTTTACCGATAAAAAAACGAAAACAAACAGAATAATAAAATCATGAGTCCTCAGGACGAGTGATTTTATCTTAAATCAGTTGGTTTGAGTGGTTTTTCCTGAAATAAAGGCTTTTGAGTATGGACACTCAACATTTAAAAAGACGATTGGCATTTGAAAAGATAATTTTTTGTATCATTTTGCATGAAAAAGACATGACAAACATATTGGAGTATGTCATAATCTAAAAGTTTCTACAAGTGATTATCATACTAAAAATATTTGTTTATTTTATAGTAACATAATTTCCTTTAAGAATCTAAAAATAAATAAATATGGCAACAATATATTATTGCAACAAATGGAATATGCCGGGCACGCGACAGAAAGTAGATTACTTTCCTTTTGGGTGTTTGACATTTGTCAAATTTTAAAGTTTTTAATGTTATTTTGGATCTTAAACTATAAAATGCAATAAGGTCTGCTTGATTTAAAATTGTTTAAGTTTCTAAAAATAGTGTTTGTTAAAAATTATGTGTTTAAGTAAATTAATTTTATCTGTGTTTAAGGGCCGATTCCACCGTTGTTTTAAATGAAGTTTAAATTACTAAACGAAGATTAAAATGATATTGACATTAAAATGACAAAGCAAGTACTTAAAATAAAAACTAAACCTATAAGAAAAATATAATATAAGAATAACTAAACAGAAAACAAAATAGGAATAACAATTGCCTTGGATTATGCAAAATCAGTCATTATAATTTCATTTTTAATATTAATTTTTAATATTAAAGTCACATTTTTAGAATTTAATTTAATACTACTGCACGTGGAACCCAAAAGTTTATGGAACGTTATAAATTTCTGCTACTATGGAATGGTCTTTCTAGAAGAAAAGCCTTAAGGTACCATTTGGGAAGGCGAGACCGAGTAAAGCGACAGTGAAGGAGACCGAAAATTGCCTCTTCACGTTTGAACACATATAATTAATTATATGAAAAACATTTGGGATAGCGCGACCGATGACAGCACTTTTAACACGGCAGTATTTGCTGCTTGGTGCCTGTCGCTTGTCGTCTTACTCGGTCTCGCCTTCCAAATGTTATCTTTAGTCGATCTTCGCAACTTATCATATTTATAGATTTTAACTGTATCGCAAGGTAATTATTTATTATACAATTTTTTGTCAATTATAGGTAATAGAATTCTTTATTAGGTCGGAGATGGGAATTGTTAAATGAACATTAGTATCTAAATTTCTTGAAGGATATTTACGAGTTGGTCTTTCCGATAAATTTTGAATGTGCTTGCCAACTAAGCAGACGGATTCAAAAATAAATAGAGAGCACAATATGCTCTACTACTTAAATCAAATACGTAGCGAATTGCTCTTTTTTGTAATTTGATAATATTTTTGAAGAGGTACAAGCTACAAGAACCCCAGAAAGGTAAACCATAGCGAAGGTGAGATTCAAATAAAGAAAAGTAGGCTATCAATGCAGTAGAAGAGATCAGCTCTTTAGAAACCGATTTAGTGGCAAAACATGCAGTGGATAATCGTCTATATAAAGACATAAAAATTTAATTGTATTCACCGTTAGAATTGACTTGTTGTTTAGAGTTAAGGGTTGTAACAGGTGTTGAAACAAAGCCCATTCGATTCAGACCAGGATTTAATAGTTACTAGATAATTGCTTATGATAGATTGTAATGTCTGCATGTCAGAATTATTCCATGTTACTCTCGTGTCATCGTTTATGAATAATGAAAATAAAATTGGACTCAAAACTGAACCTTGAGGTACTCCACAGCTTATTGGTATATTTGTAGAATCCTTACCATTCACCCGCACCTGTTGATTTCTATTTTCCAGGTAAGTTTTAAAGAACTCCGAATGCCATACATTTGTAGGTTTTTAATTAAAATTTCATGGTTAACATAATCAAAGGCCTTTGCGAAGTCACGAAATACTGAATCCGTAAAGAGTTTATCATTAAGTGATGTATATATTGTAAAGAATTATTTAGAGGGTTTCTAAATAATTCTTGAAATAAAGTTTTTCTTAGATCAAGTTTAATAATTTATTTATTATGACAATTCTCATTACCCATCTACCTAATCCATTTCCCTGGAGACCGCTACAAGACATCCTTTTACAGGATGATCTATTATAATACCCCTCCTTCAGAAAATCATAACTTCTGTGATGATATAGTCTTAGGTTTGATACATGGGCAACTTCTTCCTTTTGACCATTTTCGTAGTGGACATGTTAAAATTCCTTTCATGTATTTCGTACCTATTACTCTAAATGGTCCCATTACAACAACATTTTTTCCTATTTTCTGACTCCTTACTAAGATAAAATCGTTCACTTTCACGTTTGGGGAAAGCATTTTCCTATTTTTATTTACTTGCTTCTGAATGTTTTGTTTATATTTCAACTGTTCTTCCAAAGATTTAGGAAATTCTTTTAAGGGCCCTTTTATATTAATTTTTTGGTCAGCATTTTAAAGTGCACTCTTCCCAAATAATTTGTAATTAGGAAAACATTCCAGGAACTCATTATTGGAATAATTATGTCGTTGCACGGCGTTTTCAAGGCATATTTTCCAACCACCCCTAAAATCCTTATAACATTGCATGTACGTTCTTATTTCTTTAACAGTTCGTTCGGCTAATCCATTTCCTGCCGGATGGTAAGGAGACGTTTTATCCCCTTTGAGGTAGCCCATTCTTTAAATGATCCAGATGTCAACGCAGATGCACAGTCTGTGACAACTGTTTTTAAAGCATCACCACTTTCCTTTATTGATTTGGCACTTACATGTCTAGTGGCTTTATGTATTAGAACAATAAATGATTTTGTAATTCTGTTTAAATCTGATTTTTTTATCTCCGCAAAATCAATGTGAACCTTTTCATAGGGGTTTTGAGAACATAAAGCTAAGTGTGTATAATTTAGTTTGGATATTTAAATTTTACGATTTGGCATATTTCACAAGTTCTTATATAATATTTAATGACTTTATTTAATCCTTTCCAAACGAACCGCTTACTTATCTAATAATAAGTTTTGTAATAACCATCATGACCTCCTGAATCAGGATCATCATGGTAAGATTGTAAAATTTCTATGTTTACATTTGCAGTTTTTACTAGGAACCTTCCATCCCCTTGTTTTTCCTAATCAGGAAAATCCATGCACAATCTTGAGATTGCATCACTATCTTCTAGTTCCTTGCAAGGTTTGTGGTTGACAAACATATCAAAAATGCTTAAAAATATTTGTCATCTAGCTAACCTATCTCTTAAAGCACCTGTTGATAAAATATATTTCAATGCACGAAGATTAATATGTACTACGAATTTTCTTGATTCCAGCAGAGTTCTATAATGTTTTACTGCTTTCACAACCGCAAGGATCTGTTTTAGTTAAAGTGGCAAACGTCATCCTTTTTGACATTAGCTGATCCAACTCCTTTTTTCCAAAAACAATCTTGTCTTGGGTACCTTCATCTCCTTTACCATAGTCAATTTGGATAATTGGTTCATTTTGCTCTGACTGCGCCATAATGTAGAGAATTATTTAGAGGGTTTCTAAATAATTCTTGAAATAAGGTATTTCTTAGATCAAGTTTAATAATTTATTTATTATGACAATTCTCATTACCCATCAACCTAATCCATTTCCCTGTAGACCGCTACAAGACATCCTCTTACAGGATGATTTATTACATATATTTCATTAAGAATGGAAAACATGGCGTCAATGGTGCATTTTTTAGGTAGGAAGCCATATTGATGAGCTGTTAGTGTGTTACGTTTGAGGATAGGAGGCGGTTCTTCATTTGCCTTTCTACTATCTTCTATAAGGTAGGTAAAAAGGCAATAAGTCTGTAGTTACAGGTTTTGATTTTGTTGCCACCCTTATAAAGTGGGATTATTATAGTTGTTTTTAGACAGTTGAGAAACATACCAAATTTGAAGGATTCATTAATCAGCGAAGTTAAAATGTTGATTACTACATCAGGTATATTTAAAAATATTTAGTGGACAAGCCACCAAATCCACACGAAAATTTATTTTGGATGTTGTTTATGGTTTGCACCAATTCATGCTTATCTACTAGTATTAGAAATAAACTATCCGTAATCAGTTTAGTAGGTAGGAGGAAGGAGAGAGCATCCTGACTTGGAGCTATGTTAAAGTTGATATTCTTACTAACATTTACAAAATAATTTTATTGTTTAGTTCATCTGGACTAGGTTTTACATTGTTTGAAGAACGGGTTTTATTTTTTAAGTCATTTATAATAAACCAGGTTTCTTTCCAGGAGTTTTTAGCTCTTGAGATGCGATTCTTATAGTATTTTTTTTCTAGCAGATTTGATAATTTTCCGATGCAATATTCTATAGTTGTTATTATAGTTTAATAGGAGATTATTTGTGTATTTTTTTAACATACGTAACGTTAGCTTAACATGTAAACCTTCTAACTCCATACGTAATAATTTTACAGGAGAAGGTAACGATAAGTAATCTCACATTTTTAGACGAGTTTCATATTCCTTTAGTTGTCCAGGGTTTGTGACGTTTTTAATGGGGCGAAGAGAAAACAAACAAAAATAGGTTAGTTTCAATTATAAATATTACCGATTTTAATTTTGCGTATTAAAATAAACAATAATTTTCAAATTTTGGTATTCACTTAGATTTAAGATACACATAGTTTAATAAAAGTTGTTAGTTTGCGTTTACAGTTATCAGTTCAAATGGTAATCACAATTTTATAAAAAAAAAAACAAAAATTAGTATAAAACTTAATTATTGATTTCTTGGTTGTGATTTTGGAGGTTAGCAGGGGGCGTATCTACTATATGGCGTGTGCCATGCATACGTATCATCACCTCGAGAGGGCTCCACCCTAAGGGCTGCTGTTTCAAAACATAATTTGATTGGCGCTCAAATCGGTTAATCCAAGTTGAAAAAATTAGCAATCATAGTCATAGAACATAGAGATACTAAAAAGTTGGACGTATTGATTAACATATTTGCCATAAAATTCGATTCTTAATTATTTTTATGCACACAATTAGCGAAAGTAAAATTTGACGCAAACCGTCCGAGAATCAGTGGAACAGTTAAACAACAAATTATTCGTCGCGTGAAACTTTTAAACAGTCCACTAGTCAACCAGTTCTTTGACCGTTTTCAACTTATTTTTGAAGAACCCAAACAAGCTGTTTATCTTTTATACATATATTTTTCTTCTAATTCTTTTTTTTTTTGTTATAATGCACCTTCGAGCATATACTACTAAAGCCATTGTCGAAAATGAACTTTTCTGTATTTTTTAACTATATTGATACCTACAAATTCCAACAATGGTGAGAGTCTGTGTAGTTTGTAAATATAAATATAAAATAAATATAAAAGCATTGACGTTTACTAAGCCCATATCTTCGTCTGCGTGAGTTGTTTTTAAGCTTCTACATCGCTTAACGTACATTGAAAACTTAAATCACGCAGATGAAGATATGGGATTAGTATGCCTCAATTCATTTCTTACATATACCGATGCTGAAACGGCGTCTGGACCGAACTAGCACATCAAATTTCTCTCTAGAAATCTCCACAGTCAGTGTCGTCATGGTCTAGTGGAAAGGACATTTGTCTAAAGAAGAAAGATGTATGGGTTCGACGCCTTTTTTTCAAATCCCCAAGTATTTGTTTTAACCTTTGGGGTTCGGGGATGGTCTTAATAATTCGTAGGGGAATTTTTGAGATTAATTTCCAAATTATTCGGAAAAATAATAAGGCCGTAAACATGAATTCAAAATAAATGGTAAATTTAGAGAGAGCGCATGCCAACGTTGTAATTTGTATTTCAAATGACTTCCGTATTATTTTTTCGTGAGTTTTGGAAATATATTTTTTGTAAATTAGTTATTTAGCTTGATTTCTAATAATAGTATGTTGTTTAGTAATCTATTGGATATGCTCTAATTTATGTTTTAGGTTAAACCAGTTGCTGTCATCTCAAAACAATACGGTATCGTCTGCAAAACTGATGATTTTGCTATATTTCTATCATAAAAATACTATTTAAGTATATATGAAAAAGTATGGGGCCCAGAACTGTCCCCTGAGGCACTCCACATGAAATTTTTTTCCACTACTGTATGTTTTATTTTTACTTTTTGTATTCTATTCATTAAATAATATATGAATAGATCATGTGAAATACCCCTAATTCCCAAGTCTTCTAATATGTTTAGCAGAATTCTGTGGTCCACCGTATCGAACGCTTTCGATAAATCCAGGAAAACTCCAATTGAGGGCCTAGATTTTTCTAGAGCATTATGAATATTTTCTGTTAAGTACCTAATAGCATCTTGTGTAGATTTGTTTTGTCTAAAACCGTACTGTAATGAAGGTAGCAATTTGTGTTTTTCCAAAAATTTATTTAGTCTTGTTTGTACCACTTTTTCAAATATTTTTGCTAGACTACTAATTAGGGAGACTGGTCTCTATTAAATATACATACAGTGAGCATCTTAAGTCTTACCCCCCCTAACTCGTTACTGGGGTCTTGTTAGGAAAATCGCCGAGGGTAAAAACCCTTTCGAAAAATTTAAATGGCGTGGGGTGGTGAGTGATAGCTCATTTGAAAGGGGGTTTTATTCTCTATTCAACCGTGCAAAAAAATTTTGAAAATTGCATCATTACATGTTGATTTATTAATGTTTAAAAATAACAAAACCTCACAAAATAGGAAAGCAACTAGACTAACAGTGACCTTTTAATAGCAAAAAGTCTTACTTCACGTCTGAACCAAAACCGAAATCATGCAGGGCCGAATTTTAATTCTAAGGATGAGTGCGCTACGTTAATTTCCGTTATTCTGAAACAACAATTAGTCGAGAATTAATGAAGGAAATTTCAAATTTTTTTACACGGTTGAATAGAGAATAAAACCCTCTTTCAAATGAGCTATCACTCACCACCCCATGCCATTTAAATTTTTCTAAAGGGTTGCTCCCCTCCAGTAAGGAATGAAATTAAGGGTAAACTATTCATACAAAAATGTACATTGTAGAAATCAAAAATCGACCTGTCTCGGCGATTTTCCTAACAAGTTAGATAGGGGGGTAAGACTTATGGTGCTCACTGTATATGCTCAAAGTTATGCACTAGTTAGGAAATTGTATTAATTGATATAGTTTATTTATTATAAGACCAATAGTATTATTCGAAAGTATGTCCAGTTTGTCCCTGTGTATATTTTTTGCACAAGGTACAGAATGGATATGTAGGCCATATCAGTCTACTGACCGAATATAATTTCATAATCATTTAAGAATGCAAAATCCACCATAACAGTTCATATTTAGTGCCTACCCTACTATATGTATTTTTAATTTTTAAATCATTTAGTAATTAATGTAAAATAATATTAAAAATTAGTGATAAATAAGTGCAATCCACAAGGTATTCGTCTATGTTTAAATATAAATCATAAATGTTAAAATCATCAAGAACCAATTTAATTATCAATGTTAAGGAAAGTTACTGTGTTCCTCATTAGCGTAGAAAGTTGGAATTATGATTTCCCGTTCCTGTGCAAAAGGTCCAGGGTTCAAATCCATACTGAAGGCAATTTCAATTTTTATAACGAAATATGAGAGTTTGACTTATTTATTTGAGGAGTATACTTTTGTTTATTAATATGAGACTCGATGAAAATGTTTATTGTTGATTTAAATTTTTGTTGATTATTTGAATATATCTATGATAACCTTGTATAATATAAGTACCAAATAACTTACTGGACAAAAGGCAGTAACCTTCTCCTTATCACCCCTATCGGTATCCTTTTCTCTATCTTTTTGTTTGACATTTCGAAAACTATGTCTTTGCACCCACTTTAACATTTTCCGGGCTACATCTTAGCCTTTAAACGACACCACCACGTAGCAAAAACTTTTCTTCTTTTTTTTTAAACACACACGTACGTGCACATTTTGAAGGTAAGTAAATATACAGTCGTCGTCTTCCTGGTCTGACAGATTACCAATAAATGTAACCATGCAAAGTACAGTTCTTGCGATATGTCTGAGAGCGCACTGATAGTGCGGACGCTTGTCTGGAAAATGCATGCCTCATTATGTTGACGGTTTATGTTTTATTGGCTTATTTAATGAGAACAGTGGAACTTCAAGTAGCAAAACGATAAAATGTTTTAATAATTCTTGTTTATCTAACGTTGTTTTATTAATGATGACCCAGTTGGCGGCGAATGTGGCACTCAAAAAAAGAAAAAGAAGTGTATACATAATTATTACTCTCGCGTACAGAATCATGAAAGTGGTCATCACTTCCCCCATTCGAGATAAATGGAAAAACTTGAAGATATAGATGTATGTGGTGTTTATCTATATATTAATTTACAGGTAGAACAAAAAACTAGTTAGTATTAAATATGTTTAATTCTACTTTCTTGTTACTAGTAAAGAAAATATAGAAATCACGATTTTTTCGACCTCGAGTTTTCTACGGATCTTAACGTTTTAGAGTCCACTGGATCCGTTTTGACCATTTACGTGATAATGTCTGCGTGTTTGCGTATCTGTATCACTATAACTCAAAACATATAAAGAGAAAATCCCTAAATTTTACAATTAGGCTTTAATCTACTCTGTGGTAAGCAGATTAGATTTTGGACATAGTCGGAGCATCTGGGGCGTACTTTATAGTGGGCGTTTTTTTATTTTAAGTTATATTTATGTTTATTATTATAGAAGAACATTCTTTGAGTAATGATGAGCTGATCAGATTTTGGGCAAATACAAAGCAACTGGGGGTATATTGTAGGGGGCGTTTTTCTACTTCAAGGTAAATTTTTGATATTTATTATTAAAGAAGGAAATCGCTTTGTTATATTATGCATGATTTCTGTAAAATAAAAATTTTACGGACAAATTTGATGAAAAGTGCCAAATTTGATTTTTTTTCATTATATTCGTTGTTAGAGTAGAATGAATAAAGTTATGACGAAATCAATAATTGCGTAAATTACAAAATATATTTGAAACTTTTCTCACTGTGGTTTTTTATAAAACAATCACCAAGTACTGGTTTTCGAATGCAAGGTTCGCAAAAATAATCCGTTTCTTTTCTCCCTCCTCTCACGTTACGGTTACTGAACACTGCACAGTCTTTATAATGACTGCTTTCATTAGGGAATAATAAAATTGGGTTTTTATTTAGGCATTCCTCAGTGTTTGAGGTTATCGGTCGGCCTTTTCTACTATCTCCAAGATTGCGAAAATCTCTAACAAGTTGCTGTCTTTGAATGCTATAATATTTAGCTAATTACTATTGTTAGCACTAAAAGGAAAAACATTTCTCTCCTCCACTTGAGGGATTTTTTTTACGAAGAGCGTTCATACTGCTAGTATGTATAGTCAATTATGACTATGAGCTTTTAAATTCTCCAATTCTGCTTTTCTTCTTTATAAATTGAGTATTTAACTTACAGAAAGTGGAAAGAATGTGTATATTCCGTTTACCATTCCAAGTCAGTACCAAACGTTTATCTCATCGGCTTTTCTAAATGTAACATACTACGGTTTTACTTAATTTTTTATAAATCTTTCCATAATGCACAACATGTTACCTGTTGTAAAAATAAATATGTCTAATAATTCCAAGTCAGTACCAAACGTTTATCTCATCGGCTTTTCTAAATGTAACATACTACGGTTTTACTTAATTATTTATAAATCTTTCCTGTTATGCATTATGTTACCTGTTGTAAGAATAAATATGTCTAATAATTCCTTCGTAAGATCCATGTATCCAATATAATATACAGGGTGTTTCTAAATTCATGCGACAAAATTCAGGAGGTGATTGCGTATGAAATTAAGATGGCTCTTTCCTGTAAAAAACTTTTCTCTGCCCACCCCTTTCCGAGATATCACCCTTAAAAGGTGGTGACTAAAATTGAGTTTTTATTTTTTTTTCTAAAATTTCAGTAAAGCTAGAAACTTGAAATTTTCTAATTTTCATGCACTCGCAAAGGACTAATCTCGGGTATTTTTTTAATATTCCTGTTATATTATAGGGGGGTAAAATTAGCAACCCTTACTTTATTTCATATCAAAACTTTTTTTAAGGTGAGTATATATAAAAGAGAAGAGAAATTAAAATAGAGTAGAAGGTTTAAGAACTATGTAAGTTTACCCCGATCGATATATTCCTCCACGGAATAAAAACAATGTGTAAACATAAATGTTTTTAATTTTTCTTTAAATGAATTGAGCCCAAATTTGGATGGCAATACATTATAGAGACCAAGTTCGAGAGAATTGTTTTTTGATTTATTTAGTGGATAACTATTTTTTCATAAGTTGTTAGCTTGTCTGGTGAGATATTTGTGAATATCGGACTGCCTAGAAAGACATGATAATTTTTTATGAATTTCCAAAAGGACACTAAATATATAAATCAAAATTGCATCTGAACTGTTACCCCAAAGTGTAATGGCTTATTTTATGTGAGAATGGAATATGGAAATGTAAATCGTTCTTAATATGTTACGATCTGTTATAGTTTTAAGCTGCCTCAACAGATATAAGGTACTGCATAGTTTAGGTTTTAATTTATTTATATGAATTCTCCAAGGTAAATTACTATCTAACATAACTCCAAGTAACTTAGTTCCATTGTAATTTTGAGAATCGGTAACCGAAGAAAACTGCAATTCCTGGGATATATTTTGATTTAACATGAGATTGTTAGCTAAGAATCAATGTTCAGCTTTAGCGATAATAGTTTCTGCAGTATTTTACAATTCAATTTCATTTTTTGCAGAGTACACAAAAGTGGTGTCGTCTATAAATAGAACAGATTTAAAAGGACCCCCCAGCAAACATTTTGGTGTAATTTGACGTCGATACTACCTAAATTATATATAATAAATTTGGTCGCAAAATTAGATTTAACCATAATTAAGTAAAATTTACGTTGGCTCGACGTGGATTCGACATAAGTGGAGAATAAGACGACGTCGATATTTGGTTTTATTTACCAAAATAGGTAGAATTACATCTAAATCCACATTGTAGTAGCCCAGTACGTTTGGTTAGTAATACCTTTCTAGGGAAATTTGACGTCAGTATAACGTTAATTCGACGTTGATTTAACTAAGTTAAGGTAGAAACTACCAAAATATTTGCAGATGACGTATGCCTCCAAGTGTACGAAAAGAAATTTTATACTTATTTGGTATTTTTATCTATATAATAGTAGAAATATTGTAAGAAGTCACCAACACAACTAAAACATATACCTAATTCACATGGAAGATTAAAAATAAATAAATGTCGGTGACAAAAATATATGTAATGTAATTGCGGTGAATATACAGTTCACGCTTGTTGAAATTGATGCGAAGAAAATTTTGTCGTGCATGTTAACAGTTCTACTTAGAAAAATAACAATGCCCTTCCAAAATATTCTCTAATTAAAAAAATATAAGAAAAAAATATGATCGTGTAAAAAAATAATAATATTATGAGCTAAAACTATGTTACTTTTGAAAATCAATAATGTTTCGTTTTTCGGTATTTTCATTCGTATGTTCTAGTTATGGTCATTTTAAAAATTTAAAATTTGGAATCGTACTTCAATTACGTTAAGAAAATATGGCGTATTGTGCGAATTCGACCTAAAAGTTATTATGACTAAGGAAATCTACGTATTTTACAAATACCTTTTTATTAAGTTGATTTAACTTCAATATCACGACATATTAGTTAACTTTACCTATTTAAAGAAATAATAACTTATAGGTTTTATAAAAAAATTACCTATAGGTAAATATAACATATTTAGGTCACGTTGTTCTACACTTCTGATTTTAGACGTTTCACTTTACGATAAAAATCGGAAGTATAACGATATGATTTATTATTTTTCGAACTCATTTTATTAATTATTTTTCGCACTCATTTAAAGCTCTATCTACATCTCACGTAAATTAAGATTACGACTGTAATGGTTTTTTTAAAATGGCCGAAATTTTTAAGAATAATGATGAAGACAGTAACTGAACAACCTAATTGTTAAAATAACCTAAATAATATAAATTTTACAAATAGGTCATGTATGAATCTTTTTAAATTGGTGGTTTTTAGTCGAATTTACTTTGTGGTAGATTTTTTAGGTAATTGCTACAACAAAGTTAATAAATATTTCTTCAAGATGACTTCAACTAAATGAGTATTCGACTATTTGGTTGAAATTAGGTAGATAAACAGGTAGAATTTTGCTACGATCTCGACCTAATATTACTTTAAAGGAGAGTAAATAAAAGCGGCCAAATAGGTTACTATGGAGGCATAAAATTACGTAGAATTTTTAACCAAATCTACCTAGTTAAATATTCTACTATAGAGACGATTTTTAATTGCCAAACAGGTAGATATTACCTAAATATGGCACCTAATTTTACTACAAAGGAAATTTAACTTTGAAGTAATTGTGGGTTATTTTTTTAAGTAGTTTTTACCTTGCTGATATGGTTAAAGTTACTTTTAAGCAGATTTGTGTAAAAGGTAGATTTCTTGGTATAATTTACGTAAATTTAAATATAAATTAAAACCGTTTGGTAAATTTACATTAGAGGTATATTTTTCTAGTCAATTTTACGTAATAATTACCTCAATAAGTAAATTCGTCTTTAACAAAGTCGAGTTATAACTAATGTTATAGAAAATGTTTGCTGGGCCATATAATTACTTAAATCGTTGGTATATATAACAAATAATGATGGTCCTAAGACAGAGCCCTGTGGAACTACATGCTTAACCGAACTAAAATTTGACCTTTGATTCTGAAATGTAACAGCCTGAAACCGTCCAGATAAATTGGATTCTAAAAGTTTTAACGCACTTCCTCGGACGGCGTAGTAATTCAACTTCTCAATCAAGATGTCATGAGAAATGCAGTCGAAAGCTTTCGACAGGTCGCAAAGAGTAACTGCTGTGTGACTACCTTGCTCAAGGCCAGACACCACTCCATGAACAACATCTATTACAGCTTGAACCATTGATTTGGTGGTTCGAAAACCATTTTGACTCAAAATAACTATAAAGACGTGATTTAATGATTTTTTCAACGATCTTGCTAAATACAAATAAAATTG